CGACACTACACACTACACACACACACACACACACACACACACACACACACACACACACACACACACACACACACACACACACACACACACACACACACACACACACACACACACACACACACACACCTACTTCAGTTTAGCAAGGCAACAATCTAAAGGGGGATAGGAGTGGTGTGTGTAGTGGGGAGGCGGGGGTGAATTCCATCTAATTACTCTATCACATAATTTCACAAATTGCCTTTTCATAGGGGAGTGGAGAGCAGAGCACAGGGCGCGTTGGGGATTTGAGGCCTGAGCCTTCATTTACTACTCATTTCTTGTTAAATTAAACAAGAAAATACCATTTGTGAGGAGGGAGGGGCGGGTGAGTAGGGGTGAGGTGGATTTCAACTGCACAATAGAAAGGATGAAGGAAATAGAGATTGGGTAAAAGCTATTTGTTCATCTCAATGCGTGTCTCTTTGGTTGTAACACAAAGCAAGGCAGCTCAGCCTGTTATGCAATCAGTTTAAAAATGTTTCAACAATTCATTTAGTTAAATATCTTCTCTTTTGTTATTTATGAGGGAAGAAATGATTTGCACACTATGGAACAATATCTACTATTCAAAGAGATTCTCATAGAAGCACATATAAGTGAGTTTATCAATTGGATCAAGGATTTTGTGCAGATTTATCTTGTCAAATGCCCCATTCGGTCCCAAAATGATTATCATAACAAATGTTTTAATGAAAAATCTCAATTGTGACTGAAATGTGATGAGTATAAAAGTGGAAAAGCCCTCCCCTGGGCTCTATTTGGTTCCCTACCAAGTTTACAGCTGCATGTCGAGCCATCGCTGACAGGAGGTTAATACTAAAGTTTTAGTCGCTCCCAGTCAGAGCAGCCAAATTCTTCCGATGATGAACACCACAAGTGCTGTCGACAACACATGAGCTCATTGGGCGTGTTGGAGGGAACGCGGCGTGCTGCGACTGTCGTCATCCTCACAAATTCAATACCATTGCTCTACCGGTCACTGCACACATCACACCACAGAGAGAAGCATATTTCATGTACTGTGGTTTTGACCCTGCCAGTGTTGAATCGAGGAATCTAGGTAATACAACATGTACTACTGTTGGTGTCCATGCTCATAACAAACATAGCTGCTTTAAATCATTTCCTTTTCCGTATATAGCATGCCTTTGGAAATTAGCATTCTTGATGGATAAGCGAGATGCACAAATGTCTTCAAAACAACCCTAAAAAACAACCGTATGAAGCCACCCACCTTCCCCTTCCGCTTCGGTACAATGAGAAGTCCCCTGAGGGTCCAAATGTGAGGGCGCATAACAAAAAAAAACATCAAGGTGGGTATCCAAACTCCTACCCAATTCTGCTCCATCGTCTCTCCACTGTCAAATCCTGCATATCTGTTATACTTGAGAAACAACAGCTCCTGTATTCAGGTTTGCGTTTAGCCACAGCACTCAAGATGAATTAGTGTGTGTATGCATGTGTCTGTGTGTCCCTAATTGGCATTGTGTCTATCTCTGAGAGGCCAGACTCATCCTCCATCCTTCTGTGAAACAAAGGCAGGCCAGCTGATGGATGAGCCTGGATCAGATGTCTGTGTTTATGTTTGTACCAGCTGAGACATACTGCCAGTGCAAGAGATACTGTAAATGTTTTTGCACGAGGGGTGCTATGTGTAGCATTTATAAACACAGATATCTGGTGATTAGATTAATGGTGACAACAAGAATGATAAGTGTAAACATATTAGACCATCTGACACCATTGTTAATGCTAGTGTTTCTCAAAATGAAGACCACATTTCCCATAAGCGATCAGGACGGTGCTCCTCTCCGACTGGATTTCATTTCTTTTTCAGCTTTACTGAAGACATATTTGAAGTGATTTTTCCACCAACGATGTACTGAAATTTGTAACTGTGACGTCACGGTGAGCTTCCTGCTGTGTTCTGCCATAAAGCAATATAACATATGTGCCATTGTGTGCCTGTATGTGCACATGGTCAACTTCTTATTTCTTCCAGGTAAAAAAAGATGATGGATCGTCCTCATCCCCCTCTTCTGTATCCCCTGTTTGAGATCTGAGAAGCCTCCCTCATGGTGTAATATGACACAGTGCATGTGTCGCTGTGTGTGTGTTTCACTTGCAGAGTGTGTGCTGAACTCTATTTCCACAGACAGGATGTGTGTATGTTTCAAACACCTTTCCCCTGTAGCCCCGAAGGTGTATGGGTTGAGGTCAGGGAGTTGGAGGAGAGGTTAGTGTGTATGTGTGATGATGTGTGTGTTATGTGTGTGATGGAGAGCCGGTGGTTTGTAAAGGAGGTGGTGAGGGTCAGATGGAAAGGGGATAGCACAAAGAGAAACAAAAAGTATAAGAAGCCTTGTGAGATGTGTGTGTATATATTGTGTGCATAGATATACACTATATGTCTCGGCCAAATGCCGCACTACAGTGTACGCAATGAAAGAAGTTCCTCCAATATACCATTAGCGCTGTTAAATGTGCAATACATACCATTAACATCAATAAAGAAGCCCATGCAATATCCTTAATCAAACAGCAAAATTGTTTCCCCCAGCCTCAGCAAATGTGTGGAGACATAATTCAATGTACTGTTTGCTCACACAGTCACATTGCTGTATTTCAGCATCAAAATATATTTTTCCCACACTATTTCTTCATGAGCAATTTGTCAGCTGTTAACGGTTTTCACATTACCCGCTTTAATTGAGTAAATATAAAGCCAAACCACGAGCTTTTACAGCATCCCAGGCATCTGTTAAATAATGACAGATTTGTTCTTAATAAGGTTCATCTATGTATCTGCAGTTATGGCCGCGGGCGTCTCTCCTTGGTTAAACCTTATTCAGTTTGAGCAGATGAGCAGGCTGCTGAGATCGTCAGCAGATTACAGGCCTGTATCTTTGAAGAGTTCACCGTACGAACTGAACTAAATGGCGGAGGAGAGAGGGTGGTGTTAGTGTCAATGAGTGTGTCCGTGGGTGTGTGCGTGTACATGTTCCTTTGAGTGCAAGTATATCAAATAAGACAGGAGCAGAACCAGAAAGATAGAAAATGTGTGAATAAGAGCAAGAAAAAGCCTGTGGGTGAAGTTCAATGTGCACACGTGAAATGAAAACTGAGAGCAACTGAGAACAAATGGTGTTTCATTCAACTCACTGTAAGGTGCTGAAAGAGCCATGCTCTCATAATGTTGGTGGCCACCTTAGGGAAGATCCCTCTCTTCTTGTTGCGCTTCTTCTCTTTATCCGGGTCATCGTCATCCCCTGTGCTCGGCGAGGCCATGCTGTTGTCCATGCCATCACCTGTCACATGACAAGAAACAGGAAGAGACAGATCAGACACACAGTTTGTTTACTTCCTGCATTGGATGCGGCTCTGCGTTCAAAGGGAATAAATACGATTTCGAAGGAATTCTGGAGGGCTTTGTATGCACAGACGGAGGGGTATAGAGACGCAACAATGGCAAGCAAAGAATGGCTGGAAAACAGCACCTCATAAATGCATTCATTTTTAATACATTTATAAATAACCCTGCCTTTCATTTTTCACCCCCCTCCTCTTGAAAACACAGCAAGCGCATCTTGATGCAAGAATGAGAGGGAGAAGGAGAGCACAAAGGACTTGTAAGGTCGCATTTCCCCACTCTCCCATCCAAGCCTGCGCAGAATTGAAAATGACAGAGAGATTTAGTCTTTATTATCCTGAGGGGAAATAGTTATTGAAGCGTCGCCCCCGCGCATTCTGCCATTTTACCTGAGGTGGAAAGAGTAACACGGCACTACAAAAGGGGAGGTTGTGAGGAGGGGGAAGGCGGAAAATAAAAGGAAAATATGTGGAAAAAGGGAAGTCAGAGGCACAAACAGCGCTAACAAAGCTAGCTGCTTTTCATAACAATGGCATCATGGCTGCTTACAGCAACCTGTAGGGCTTCGATAAGGCTCTATTAAGGCCAGTTAACCTCACCTTAGGGGAACACTGAGACAGCTTAGAGCATTCGAGCACTGAGAGGAAAAGTGAAAGGAAGACGCTCCGTGGGCCTTTTCTCTGCATTCAGACTCAACAACATGAACTCAAAACACACACACACACACACACACACACACACACACACACACACACACACACACACACACACACACACACACACACACACAGCACATATTCAAAACTACCCAATTACTGTACGAATTCTATACAGCTCCAGAGGCTCTTCCCATCTGTGGCTGTGAAAAGCCTAATTGTTATTATCATTATTCAAAAATGCGAGCCACCCTCAATGAAGACGATAATCATAAAAGAAACATGAGGCGAGGTAAACAAGTGCACCCTCACTGCCAGAAATTTCAGCAGCTGATAACTGACTTTTGTTCGCGTCTTTCGACTGGAAGTGAGGGGAAGGGGAAGAAAATGCTGAAGCAGTGCACAGAATTGGATCCAGTTATTTATTGATTACACACAAAGCACTTCTAAAGCTTCTTGCTCTATTCACTGCAACGGGAGTAGATAACTGCATTTGAGCAAGCCCGCGCTCCGCTAACTTGCACAGGGCGACACCCAGCACCTAGCTAAACCCTAAGCCCCCGATTCATCGATAATTAATGGGGATGTTGGCACTAATCCGGTTGGAGATGACTTTTTTCCAGCCTGCCACATCAATGGAATAATCAAGGGTCTAAAACCCAGGCCTTTGCTCCCCATTACCTCGGGCAAAAGAATTCCTGAAAGCATGCCTGGAGGGCACCTGAATTATATACACCATTAGGAGAGAGAGGCTCGCAACGATCCATACGAAACAACACTTGGCTAGCTCTCGCTCTCTCTCGCCGACTGTTCTGGCAGAAGGAGATACATATGCACACATATTGAAGGCTTTTTAATGAAGCTCTGGTAGAAGCGGAGGTGACGCCATGCAGGGTGGGGGAGGGATAAAATAAAGCACTTGATTTTCATGGATACTGATTCAAACACCACCCACTTCGCATCAATTATGCCCGCGTGCATGTATTTTTGCTGGTAGGGTTGGGGAACTGTAACACCACCAAGAGGTCAAAAGTTGGTTTCAGGCAATATCAGTCAGTCAATAATCTCTGTGTCTTTACTGTAAACCACTGGATAATCTGGTCATTAACTTGTCAGATTAATTGATTGTTTAGCATTTTCAAATGTGAGAACAAAAAAAAAGTCCAACACCCATTTACGAGGTTGTTAAACAGAGAAAAACGGCAAACCTGTACATTTAAAAATGCTGACTAGGGAATCTTTTACATGTTGTCTTTATAAACAACTTAAAGGTGGGGTAGGTAATTTTGGAGGAACCAGCTCGAGTGCATTAGAATTTGAAAATACACAACCGGAAAAAATCTGTCACTTCCTTCAGACTTCCTTACTGAGCCTCTCCTCCAACACACACGAACGCGCACATGACCAATGAGGGCACGAGATAAGTTTGTGCACGAGATGGACGGCTGACAGGCAGGTAGGCCATCCAGTTACTTTAGCCGGGCCGGCTCAGATGATTGGTCGTGCTTTTTACAGCGCCACGGCTTACACAGAGGACATTTTTGTATGTATTTATTGTCAAAGCATTTAATATATTCATTGCTATCAGGATGTTAAGAGCATTCCATGGAATATAACAAAAAGCGTTTCTGAAGTCAATTACCTCCCTTTAGTCCCTCTCTCTTGTCTTTCTCTCCTTTCTCTTCTTTTCTTAGAGCCTGACTTTGTTGGTTGTTGAAACATGGTACAACACACGTATTTAGGCTAAGTACTAGCATCACATACTTTCATTCTCTGCAAGTGCTGGTGCTGCACGCGTTTGGAGGCAGGACCAAACCATTACATTTAAATAGAAGGGGGTGCACAGAGGC